CTGCTTCATCTCAGGAAAGAACAGAGGTGCTCTGATTCTGCTTAGGCTTTGGCCTCCTGCCTAAACCAGCACTTATCCCTGTTGGTCAACCTTTCCAACAGAATGGAGACATAGGCACAGCACACAAATCTGCACAGCAACAGTAGCAAAAGAGAAGGATTAACTGTACAAGGCCATTTTTGTACCTTACTACTATTCTGAAGTGACAAATCAGGCTGCATACACGCAGTTCTAACGAGAGCCACTAAACAAGCAATGGATAGTAGACTGGCTTTCCCCACTTGATAAAACATTTGCTTTAATAAGAATTTCTAATGACCTGTGGGGGTTTCCTTTATTGAATAATAAGCCGCCAAGAACAGAAGACAAAACAATCTCAAGTCAGGCTTACAGACCACAGAGCAAAGTATTATTTAAGGCATACTGACCCCAGAGCAAGGTATTATTTAAACTTGAATTCTTTACAAAGGTATCACGCTGCGCTTAAATCAGTATCTTAAATCACTGCCAAGTTCAAAGACAAGACATAAAACTAGGGCAATTCAAACACCGAAAGCAAAATTGTGAAAAATTAATGTTTTAAAAATAGCTGGCACTGACTGATGGCAGAGGGCAATCCCTACAAAAGACTGAAAAGATTGTGCACACAGCATACACGTATGATAAAACCCCTGAAGGAAAACAAGGTGAACAAGAGCTAGGGATCAACAAAGGATGTGAAGAGTCAGCCAGAATCAAGCACGCTTGCCCTTGCTGGACTTCTTTCCTCTGTTCAGTCCCGACCCATAAGTGACCTAAGCCAAGATTACATCTGGGAATGCTAGCAGACCCCTTCTTTGTGCAAAGTGAGTGGAGTACACAGATCTTTGCACAAAAGGTATCTTTGTGTAAAGCATGCGAAGCTTGCAAGTCACATGTCCCAAAGCTGATCTCCACTTGCATGGCAGATACATGGGTGGTGTGTGCATGAGCCAACCTTGCGGACCCACTTGAACTCTCCCCCTGTCAGAGACCCACACAAACGCTTGGCATGAGGTGGACTCTGGGCAGAGACAACACAAACCTGAGTCCAGGGAGCCAAGCCTAGGAAATCCAACAGATTTCCGCCCCTAAGCCAGATTCTTCATACATCACTAGCACGCAATTTATTTTTTTCCTCAAATATTTCAGGTCAGATATTTGTAGTGCATTGATTCATTCAAAAAATAAACATGGAGTGATTTTTGTTTTGCTGTTTTCTAAATACAAACAAAATAAACATGTTAAATTCATTTATTCCATGGGTTCTCAAACTACGACCTGTGGGATGGATCCAGCCCGCCATGCCCATTTATCCAGCCTGCGCTGCTGCCCGCTGCCCACGCTCACTGCCGCCTCGCCACATGGGCGGGAGGTGGTGGCTTGCTTGCTTGGAGATGGTTTTGAACTTGCTGGGAGATCTCTGAGCAAGCAAGCCGCCTCACGGTCCTGCACCAGTCGCAGCTGCCTTTCAACTGGCCCCCTATTGAAGAAGTCGGAGGACCCCTGCTCTAGATGTTTTTTCCCCCAAAACAGGCATGGGAATAGTGATCTGAAGATGACTGACTCTGAATCAGTCTCTTTGTCATGGTCAGCTAGCTGCTGCTGAGATTTAGAATAACAATGCCTTTTCTCCTCTGTAGCAGAAGCTGATGGATCCAGACAGTTTCCAGAGGGTTCTTGTGTTTTTTCCAGCTGATATAGCTGGCATGTTTCTGTCCATATTCTTATATTTAGACTACAATCCTATAGCTGTCTGACAGTAAGCCCCACTGAACTAAGTGTCCTGGTGCATAAGACATGACAATCCATCATGGGCAGTCAACCACCCACAGTACTCCCACCCTGCCTGAACAAGTGATCCTAAGAACCCATGGGCTATTCTAGGGGTTGTGTTATACCTATGGGGGATTGTCATGTAGTCTGAACCTGTATGACTGATCCCACCATGGATCCCCTTTTCTACTCCCCCCCGAATCTGCCCTGGCCACCATAAATGCCAGCTGCCCCAGAAGACAATATGGGAAAAACTTGGTCCCCGTAAAGAATCACCAGAGGGAAATGGAGTGGAAAGTTAACAAATGTTGGGCTCATTATGGACTGTTCTCAGAAGGGCTGTTCTTCTGTATTGCCAGGGTGGTTTGGCATGCCATGCAAGCCTGCCTACTGGAATTTATTTCTGTGTAAGTATGTATAAGATTGCTTTGTTAACCCCAGGCTTTCACTGCTACTGGTCATAAGAATATGCCTTAAAAATATTTTCTATATAGCTGGGGTGGCCAAACTGAGGCTCCTGAACTGCATGCGGCTCTTTGAGTTTATTTTGTGGTTCGCCGCTTGCTGCTACAGGTGCCTGTGGGTGCCCACTTGCTGCTTGCCACCCCCACTGCCACTCCCCTTAAGGGCCCGCTTGCCACTCGCCACCCGCTGCTGCCGCCCATGGGCACCCCCTTGTAGCTCTGACATTTACCAAACATCTGATGTTTACCATATGTGGCTCTTCCACTGAACAAGCTGGGTCACCTCTGCTATATCGGTGTGTGTGTGTGTGTGTGTGTGTGTGTGTGTGTAAAATATATATAGGGCAAAGAAATCTGCATGTAGTAATGAAACAGTATAAACACTACTCTATTTAGCTATAAATTAACATGGTTTAGTGGTCAGCAGGAAATATATCAAAAACTTTCAGTAAGAAACCTGATCTAAATCAGCCTTTTGCCTACTGATTTAAGTTAATCTAGCAGTCTGAGGTAAGCCCCACTGCTGTCCATGGGATGTACTTCTGAGTAGCCATATAAGGTTGCACTGTAAAATATGCTGCTGATAACTAAACAATCTCTTTGCTAAAGCAAACTCTTTGCTAGAAGCCTGACCAGGGCAGTAATCTAATGTGTAGCTGCTCAAAATCTTTCATGTCTCTTGATGGAAGAGCCTGTTTTCTGTACTGATATTATCTTCCTCTGAAAATATTTCCTGCAGCATAGCTAAAAATACTTGGAAGATCACCAGCATTACAAATACCACTATTTATTGTTTCCGATAGGAAGCTAGCTATGTCCATTAGCTGATCACATTTCTCCAAAGATGTAAGCATTCAATATGCTGCATCTCCCTACTGGTTTCCAGAGCTCTTACTGGGCACCAGTTCAATATCTATTGCTCAAATTTAGAAGTTCAATCTAGTTTCTCCTATTCAAGGCAGTCTCTTTTTTATAACCACTTTATTCAGCTATTCAAAAAATTTCCTACTTTTATTTTGCCAAAATATTGGGCTGACCAGACTCCTGACGGAACTACTATTGCATAAAATCACACAGTCAATCAATCTCGTAGCACATGCCCACTCTGTGACTCAACCCCTACTCTTAGGTTCTCATATCATCCAAAACTATTGAAACTGGGCTGTTGCAATGCTTAAAAACACCCTGGATTTGGTGTGGTTTGTTACCAGGTTTGATGACACAAGAACATGTATGCAGCAAGCCATCATGCAAACCTAGCCATCATTTCTTAATGACTGGTGACTTTCTAATAACCAAACATTTCTCCTTTCACACAGGTGTAATGTTTCCCAAATATTATCTCTAATCTTAAGATTCAGAAATTAGGGGCGTTTTGTTCTATTACATGTATTTGTTTCGTTTTTCTTTCTTGTTTATTGTAATCTATCTTGCAATCCATCTATAGAAAAGGAGATACATTTTTTTAAATTAGTAAAATATACTGAAGCCTCAATGAGTTCCACATGTGCGTTCCAACCTCCCTCCAAGGAGTTCAAGAAGATTTGTGACTACAAGTTTGTGAAATCTTTTCAGTAATTTGCAACATGATTCCAACAAGTTTAACTGAATCCTTGTTTGCAATCTGTTGCTCTTGCCAAAGGAAGAGCTTGGTTAAAGTCTGGTAATTCTGATTCAGGAATATTTTCTTCATCATTAAATAATGCTTACATTACAGTGATTCTCAAGCCTGGCAAGAATCATATTATACTATTAACCTATTTTGTTAATTAATGTAGATACTCAATTATTGACTCCAGTTCTGGCCAATAGATTGCAACCAGTTATCACAACACTAGCTTGAACAGTTATCAGGTATTTCTTGTTTGGTTATGGTAATCCATGGGCAGTGGTCCTACAAAAATGGAGATACATTTTTAAAATCTACAATATATAGTATACGGAAACGTGTGTGTCCCAAACTTCTTCCAAGGATCTTAGGAAACGATACATGGACTTCCCCATTTGAACCTAAGAACAAATTTGACCACTAAGCTTCACAGCCCAGTAGGGATCTAAGAGAGGTGGCAGAAAGATTTAAATAGAAGGTTTTGTTAGCAGCTGTAATATTCCAGCTATGATTTTTCTTTATCAAGCCAACTGCTTGCTAATCATCAGAGATATTAGTTGGTATTTTTCAACTGCAGCAAAACAGCAAAAAGTGCCTTACACATTTCTAGATGGCCCTTGCATGATGAAATCCATTAGCCAGAGGGTGAAATGAAATAAGAAATTTGTGCCAGTTTTGCAATTTGTATCTGGACTCAGAGAGATAATTTGGCTGGAGTTAAAGCAGACATACCACTTTTGGGTATGCTGGAAAAGTGTTGCTCTGGAAAACAGATGCAGGACCTGTTGTTGTGCTGCTACTCTATGGTGGAAATGTGGAAACTGAGCAGAAACACTGTAACTGAGTTCAGACTGCAAAACAAGTCAGAAATGCAGAAACTTTACATTATACCACATTACGGAAGCTGGCAGTGAACTACTGGACTGAAGTCAATGTGCTGGCACTAAATGACTCAGGACCGAAGTACCTGAAGGATGATCTTCCCCAGTCCCAAAAATTAATGAACTTGAGCACTGAAAACTGGGTTTGACTTCTAAACTACATATACAGATAAAAGCAAAAAGAGCTACATTTTGCCCCAGTGAGAGATGTGGGCATCAGAAAAGGGCTTAGTAAATCAGAGGCATACTGACCTGAGATTGCTGAAAAAGGAAGCACTGCTGTGGATTTATGCCGCAGGCAAGGAGAGCTGCAGTGATATCTAGGATGTTTGTGCGTAAAACGGTCGGTTCTCTCGGTGTCGTGAGGGAGTGGAGGTCTACAATGCTGTATAGCACGGAGCTGCATTCTTCTTGTAGCTTCACCCAATTTGTGATAGCACCAAGGTAATTTCCCAGATGAGGGATCCCAGTTGGTTGAATACCTGAGAAAATCCTTTTCAGGCCTTTATTCTGTAACCAAAACCATAATTCAATATAATTTGTATAATGATCAAGCTCCAGAGCACACACCCGGGCCCTTCTGAGCACCTGAGTATGTAACAAATACTGTTGACTATAAATCATCATACTGCACTAAAGGCATCTACTCGTTATTAAGGCATTTTACTTTGAATACTCACAGGCTCTTACTCATTTCAACTTGACAACTTCCTACAGGATTGTGCCTTCATAGCTACTCTTCCACAACTCGACTGAGTTCTGATATATTGTTTAAAGGTCTAAGTGAATCCTTAGTGAAGTTCCACACTTTCACATGATGACGTGAGAAAACACCAGTATGATGAGCATCAAGCATGGACAACACAGCTGCTTCCTTAAACAGACATGTATATTCTCCTACGAATATAACTGGATCTTCTTTTAAAATGGGTACCCAAAGATGCAGGTACATTATGCATCATCATCATCATCTATTTGCATCCTACTTTTCCATGATAAAATCATATTCAGATAGTTTACAGCAACAGAGTAATTTAACATAGTAAAATACTTATTAAATTTCCAGTTAATTTTCTTAAAAGTTACAAGGTTCAAATAGCCACATACATGGGCTAATAAAAATATCTCAATTAAGAAATATGCACTGATTAAACCAATAATCAGTTTAAGCAGAAGGGAAGAGAATGGCCCACTACATCAACTCCTAAGCGGGCCAATTCAGTTACACATTAGATGAAAGCAATACCCCATCCACAAAAGCCACATCCCAATACTCATTTCAGAAATACTGCCTATTCCAAAAAATGACCTGAAACTCCATTTTCCAAGAAAACCAAATGTACCAGCCAGATATAACTGTATGGGAGGGATGCCATCAGCCAGAACCCTTCCACAGAAAACATGATTTGCTATTTATTCCAGGCAATGCACGTTTCCAAGTAAGTCATGCCAAGAAATTCACCACAACTGTATGGAAGAGAGAGTGGCATGCTACGTAACTTCCGCATAAACCACATTCTGGTACTTGTCCAGGCAATAAATGGAATCTGAGGAAAAGGTCCAGAACACTAAATGAGTGAGTCAAATCAACCTGGTCGTGTGCATATTTGGTTTAGACTCACCTGGAAGTAGCTATTCTGAGCCACTTTCCAGAATATGGAGAAATGGGACTAGAATGTAACTTCTATGGATGTTTTGTAGTTGACTGTATCCCTTCCATAGAAGTATGTATATGGAGTAGATCTGGTTTGTCTCATTCTGAAGCTGGCATTCCAGACCATTTTCCTTAGATATAGTTTACTGCCTGGAAATGGCACTTACACATAGTTTACATGGATGTATTGTGGCTTGACGACATCATTCCCAGCTAGTCATTTGCATATGGGGGATTTGGTTGGTATGCCTCACCTGGTAGATGGCATTCTGTGTCATTTTCTGGATGGACAAATGCCAGTAATAGGTACTGAAGCATGGCTTTCTATGGCTGTATTGTGACTTATTGCATCATTCCCATCTAATGCATTACTAGCAAATTTAATGCTAGTAATGGATCAGTAGTGAATTTGATGAATTTTGGTTATGGAGGGTTGTATTTGTTTGGGAGAGAGCAGTGCAAGCTAAGACAGTCAGACTAGCAGCCAGCCAGTCATGTCTGGGGTTGGGGGCAAGGAGAGAGATTCTCTGCAGAACTTGACCTGCGGCAGATAGTCACTGGGTGAGAGTTAAACTATACACTACATTAAATGTGTAGTGTGCTATTGATCATAACTTTTTATTTTACTTTTGTATAAGTGCACAGGGTCCCACTCCAGAATGGGACCACCAAGTAAAGTTGGTGGTAGATGACCTTCTGACTCAGCTATAATTTCCTTTAAAATCACATTATCCCTGCTGCAGCAGATTAGGAAATAAAGAAAGGAAAAGTCATTTGATGCCAATGAAGCAGGAGGTATGCTTTCTAATGCTTTCTTCTTTTAATTATCAGATCAGCTAAGACATTGCTCCTTCTTCCCCACTTTTCTCCCTCCTACCCACTTCCCCACCAGGTTCTGCTCTTCCTCCATTTCTTCTTTCCAATTAATTTTCCTGCTCCAAATTTTTGGAATCCCGCCCCACAAGCAGGCAAAGCAAGTTTAGTGAGTGTGAGGGGATGGGGTAGAAGATAGTCAGAGCTATCCTGGGTAACTGTTTAAACTAAGTCCCATTAAATATGGAAGCTGAAGGAAGGAAATAAAAAAGGCAGGAATTGGATTAACAGTATTAATCAGAAAATCCTGATGGCCTTACACTACAGAAGGAAAAAAAGCCCTCAGAGGAAGCCAGCCCACAGTGTGGCAGGAACAACCGGCTTATTAAAGTGAAGCTTATCCAACACGTTTAAGACTTTTTCAGTCTCGAACTATTCTGCAAAATGTTGATGTACCTAATCATTCTCAGGGCTGGCCTACAGGGATGTGCCTTGCATCTTTTAAGAGCCTAGAAACACCCTTGGGGATTTGGATTTTAGTTTAAAGAGACACCGCTTCTTGGCTACTTTCCCCCATTTGCTGTGTTCCACTCTGCCCCCAGCCTTAAGTACTTGCTTAAAGGGCTTACAACAGGGCACTTCAAGTGATACAGCATTTTGAATAGTAACGGACAATAGTGCTGGGGGGGGGGGCGCTTCTTAAGAATGGGTTGCACAGAGGTGCAAAATCACATTTCAGACTTTTATCTCTTCACATACATTATAGGAGACATGCACTTTTAAGACTTAATTGTAGTGCAGGAGTGTATCCATTTTGCCTTTTTGCATTTTTAATGCCATGGGTGGGGTTTCTACTGAAAAATGTAGGCCCAAAAAGAGTACTCTGGTATTGTTGTGTGGATCTCCCCCCTCCCACCCACCCCCGCTTTGCAGAATTAAACCGCATGCCTGAGTTTGTCCTTTCTGCTCAATAGCTTCCTTCTGAGAGCAGATACCTTGCAGCACCCAGTTGGCCCACACGGCCCCAAAGGGCATCAGCTGCCACTGTTGCCTGAAACTCTTTCCCAGAAAATCTGCGCAAGGAAAATCAATGTAATAGTGTCTTCCAGTACTTACAGACAGAGGGACAAATGGGAAAGGAAAAAGAATCATAAATTTTATGATAATGCCACCTCAACCAGTCCCGGTCCCTGACAAAGGCACTGAAACAGGAAGGAGCCAACATACTGCAGAATATATTACTTGTAAAACCTAAGTTCTACAGAAACTTGGGCGTACTCAAGTATTTGATTTGCTCACACATACACATACACACATAATATGAAAGGGGCATAGGAGAGCACAATGAATAAATACCTATTACTACAATACAGATGCACATGTAACAGGCTAAATTTGCTTCTTAATGTCATAATGAAACTGGACAATGTCCATAAGATCCACAAAGGAGCAAAATATTTTCTAAAAGATGTAAAAGATACTGCAGCTGTAGTCTTCAAGAAGCAGCAAGAAGGAAAAGTACAGAAACACTGACACTGGAGGTCCATAGCAGGAGTGACCAAACCAAGGTTCAGGATTGGTATGTTGCTCTTTGAGTTCATTTTGAGGCTCGCTGCTTGCTGCTGCAGGTGCCCACAGGGGCCTGCTCGCTGCTCACCCCCCCTGCTCCCCCCCCCCCCCCCAAGTGCCTGCTTGCCATGTGCACCTGCTTTGTAGCTCTCCAACGTCTGACATTTCCTGTATGTGGCTCTTCCATCTGGCCACCCCGGTCTATAGTAAAACTCAGAGCTAAAGACTCAAGTTTTTGAAAACTGACATTAAAAAATCAAGCTGCTCAAGAAACAATAATAGTTGAGGATGTTTAAGTACCCAGAAAGGTAAGGAACACTGTAGTTGATTATGTCTCATGGGTTCAGCTGCAGAACTCCTGGAGGAGTCTAAAGCTGATTTCAGCAACCACTACATCTGAATCAGACAACACACTTGTATCAGAAATCCCTTACTACATAGTCAAGATAACTGTTTCTGAGAATCTGTGTATGTCCACTCAAACATACAAAAGAAAACAAAAGATTTTGTAAAAATTACAAAACAGAAAGAATTGGGTTGCTATCCAATTCATGCTGCTGTAAATGAGCAGGATCCAAGATTCAAAGGCAAAAATTTAAGTGATGATAGTTCTGCTGCTGCATTTGACTAAATTAAAAAGCAAGCGCAGCACAGTTGGAGCTTGGTGTCAGAAACATACTTTCAAATGTTGCTGATTAGGAAATATCTTCAGGAATTTTAACTCAGGAATGCAGTATGAGATTCTGCAAAACTATCCCTCCTGCAACATGATGGCAAGGCCTTTGCAAAACAAGGCACATGATAGCAAGGCCTCTGACTCCTCTTGCTTCCTACTGGCAGGATCTGCAGAAGAAAGCAGCTCCCTCCCTAGCCAGATGGAGAAGGTAGAAATAGCACCAGATCTGTAGCTACCTGCAGGATTAGGGCAAGTGTAGCTATGCAGTTCAGCTGAGAGCCACTGAGGCTCTATCAAATGTTTCTTAGTACTACACACCCTGGTCACAACAGTGTTACTCTCCATGGTGGGTTCTTCGTGTTCTTAATTTAACTTCTGCCTCCAATCCTACAACATCTTCATTTTCACCAGTTCCTGACTGCCACACTTTACCAGGTACCTGACTCTTGCTTGTTCTGATTTTGCTTTTGTCTCCGGTCCTACTACATCTTGCTAGACTCTCCACCACCCTCACCCTTGGTCACTGTGCTTCATTCACAGACACCTGCCACTGGCCTCCTGGGCTTAATACTCACCTACTGCAGATTCCTTCTTTTTCAACATGAGAAAGAAACTGGTCTATTATTGAAAATTCTCCCATCAAATCAAGAAATAAACTGATATGTAAAAGGGGAGAAGGTTGTTTCAATCCAGGCAAAATCTTACTCTTTAGAAATTCATGATAACTATGATGAAGCCAAGGTAACGAAGTAGCAGTACTAGGAAGGGAAACTGATAGCAATAGCTCAGAAAAAATGA